GCATTAGAAGGCACTAGATCGTAATAGAACGCACTAGATCGCATTAGAAGGCACTAGATCGTAATAGAACGCACTAGATCGTAACAGAAATGCACTAGATCGCATTAGAAGGCCCTAAATCGCCTTAAAATGCATTAGTATGCGCTAAAATGCTCAAAACCAGATGAGGACGTACGTCGGGACAAGCCAGATCACCCAGATGCAGACGTACATCGAGACAAGCCAGATGCGGACGTACGCCGGGCGTGTGCGCCAATAACTTTATTTTGCTCTTTGTACGCCAGTAGAAGGGCTTGGAGCCTCGTTTACGCCGGATTAATCCGCGGAAAACGGCACCATCCTGGGTATGGGACGGTGCTAGTCTGCTAATATTGTCAATACTGCTAACAATAGCCTAACATTTACATTGCACCAATTCTTGGGAGTTGGGTTGCCTTCAACTTTAATAGAAATCAACTTGATATAAATTGTAAGTAAAACTGAACTACCACTAGTACCATATTTCATCATTAATTACAGATAAGCTCTAGATTGGAATTTTCCTACTCATGAATGAAATCTCATGTCTCCAAAGTGGCCATTTTTCAATTTATTAGGAATCTTCTCCTAATTGTAGGTATGTGCACAAAGTATGCACAAATGTAAACAATGCTGGCAAAATGGCAGCATTGGCAGACAGCCACTTTTTGCATTGGCGCATGTAAGGTATTTAATTTTGAAAGTTCCACCCAAATGTTTGCTTAATTTGATTGACTTGTGTTTGGAAGCGAACTAAAAAAATTTGGACTTGCTTATGATGACCCCATTTTTTTTCAACAAATGTCTATCACGTACTGACTGTACGGTACCTGCTTAGCTGGGGTGTGCAAGAGGTAACATTTGTGCTAGAAATGAACATTGATATTGTATTTTGAAATTAATGAAAGATAATTTGAAATCAAGATCATAGTTTTTAAAGCATGCTCTCGAAATTTCAGAGCTTTGCAGCCATTCTGACAGTTTTTCTACTATGTCATGTCATGCAGTTTATGTTCAGTTCAGTCGTGAGTCAGTGAGCCTGAGCTACGCTGGTCCTGAACTACTGCTGAGACTGAGACATGAGACAAGACATGAGAGGGGACATGATACGAGGCATGAGACAAGATATGAGACGAGATGAGGCATGAGAGGGGACATGAGACAAGGCATGAGACAAGATATGAGACAAGACATGAGATGAGATGAGGCATGAGAGGGGACATGAGACAAGGCATGAGACAAGATATGAGACAAGACATAAGACTGAGACATGGGACAAGACATGAGACTGAGATATGAGATTTGAGATGACATATAAGATGAGACATTAGATTGGACATGAGACAAAGAGACAAGACATGAGACAAGCATGAGACAAGGCATGAGACGAGATGTGAGATTAGATGCAAGATGAGACATGAGACAAAACATGAGATTGGACATGAGACACGAGATGAGACATGAGACGAATCTTGAGACAAAACTTGAGACAAGCATGAGATGAGGCATAAGATAAGATGTGAGATGAGATGTGAGACAAGACATGAGACAAAACATGAGATTGGACATAAAACACGAGATGAGACATGAGACGAATCTTGAGGCAAGACTTGAGACAAGCATGAGAGGAGGCATAAGACAAGATGTGAGATGAGATGCGAGACGAGACATGAGACAAGATTTGAGACAAGCATGAGACGAGATGTGAGACAAGACATGAGACAAGAGATGAGATTGGACATGAGACGAGGAGATGAGACATGAGATTGGACATGAGATGAGGAGACGAGACATGAGATTGGACATGAGATGAGGAGATGAGACTTAGACAAGACTTGAGACAAGAGTGTGTCAAATATCAGTTATAAGATTTGGAGCTGACAAAATTATTTTTTCAATTTTTTTAATTTTGAAAAAATTTTTTTTTCATTTTTAAAATAATTTATTTTGACATTTGATTTATGCATTGTCTCCAACTTTACACATGTCTGCAAAATTTCAGATCAATAGGATAAGTAGAAGTGTATTAAATTTTGATTACAAGATTTGTAGCAGACAGACAGACAAACAGACAAGAAGTGAAGTTAAAGAGAAGTGTTGTAATAGATTGTTTCTTTTAGAAGCCAGTAACTTAGTTGATATGGCAACATTATTGGCAATGAAGATGGAGACTAGAAGACCAAAACAGCCACTGACTCATAGAAAAGTGTTAAACGCCAACCTTACAAATGGTAGTTCTGACCAACACTAAACATTGTTTAGTAATAAGTAGTGAGGTCAGTGCAGTATCCACTGAGTGGTGACTTGTGTGTCATTGACAGACTTGTTGCGGCTACTTCCATATTTTTACTTATGTGCGGAGTCTGGAATGATTTTATAGATGATATCATCATTGAACTATCATTATGTTTTTGTTGTCAATTTTTTAGCAAAATAAATTTTCTTTGCAGAACTTTAATGATGGGCACTTGAATTTCTGTGCATGATAAAGTAGATATTCACTAGAAAACCATGTCAAACTCCCATGAATTCACTTTCTGTGTTTTTTTTTATTTAATTTGAAAAATTATCTACATATTTTATCTTTTCCAGGTGTTTGCAGTTATTGGCTGCATTGTGGCAAGTTTCAACTATGGCCTGGACTACCCTTCATACATGGGAGATGAAATTTTTACAAATCTCTCCAGGTTTTCAACTGATCTCCCTGTTGGCTCACCTACTCATGAAGTCATTGGACATTTTTTTGACAAAGTGTAAGTTGGATGGACTTCAACACAATATAATTCTGATCATTTTTCAAGGTCTACTTAAATTAAATGAGTAAAAATCTTTAGCATTTTTTTTCTGTTGAGTTTGGTAATGAAATATCACTATGTTGGGACTTGCTCATGACCCAAACTACTAAGTAAAATGGAAGATACTGGTCAATGAGCCAAAACTGTCATGCGCATGGACAATTTCAGCAGTTGCCAATGTGTCAAAATTCCATTAGGCCCTAACCCAATTTCTTGTGTGGAAAATGAGTTAAACATCACAGTTTTTACTTTTTACTACAAATTCCAGAAGTAACCCATGAAATAATTTTTTTCACCAGATATCTTTGAAAAAGCTGACTGATTGCCCTATTTGTTAATGACTAAATATTGAATTGTAATGAAGCATACGTACCTATGTCCTTCCTTCTTTCCTAGGCTATATATACCGGTATATAAGCTCAATTTGGTCAGAATACTTTTTTTTTAATTCTGTCTTGAAATTTTGATTTTCACCAATATTGTGCAAATTCTTGTACTAGTATATATAGTAGGTAATATAAGAGACAGTGAATAGTGAATAGTGGAATAGTTCCCCATGTTCTAGATTTTTATTACTAACTGAAAATATAGTATACTAGGTATTTCATATGACATTCAATGTGTATATAATATTTTATTTGACCTTGCTACATTCATCAACAAATACAGATAGTATATATAAATTTACATAACATGCACGATTAATAACCAGAGAATGCATTACCATATAGGTATTCCAATTTTCCAAAATGGACACTGCAAAAAAGCGGGAGTTCTCCATGAAGCCGATGTAGTCTGTATATTTTGCTTCAATGAAGATTGTATTCTTTTTTTTTTTTTTTTGACTCCCTGTAAATTGGAATATAATGCATTCTGTGGCCATTAATTGAATGTGTTTCAACAAGAAAATTCCGCAATCGCAATCTAATTCTAAAATCTATCTACCTTATATAAAATGGACAACTTTGTCTCCAATAGATTCTAAACTTGTATTCATTGAAAATTGCAAATTGAAGAATTTTCATTTTCAGTGACAACCTGATGCGAGCATTTAGATTCCGGGCTCGTTATCAGGCTGACAGTCGCACTTACGTGATGCTGCCCATGCTGGCCTCAGCAGCTATGTCTTCAGTGCTGTCCTTGTGGATGATCTTTGATAAATCTGTACTCACCTCGACATCTGTAAGTTATCATTGCTCATTTGAAGTTCTATTACACAAATGTCTAATGTTAAATAGAAGCCTTAATGGTCAAGTGCTTGGAAAATATAATTATTCGCTAGTATTGAACCCTTGTCTCTTCATTCAAAACAATTTATTGTTGCATGGGGGCCTTTGTTTTTGTAGTGTAATAAACTTATAACTTAGAAGGGAAGTATGCTTCATATTATTAATTAAATGCCATTTAAATGTTGCATAGTTTAATTTTTAACATCGAGAACTCAATGCTTTCATTTTGTAATGAACATAAACTAAAAATGTAGCTAAAGCAGAGTTATAACTGAAGACCAGATTATTTTTGCCATACAAGTTCAAAATATTATGATATAATGCAAAATATACAATATTCGAACTAATGAGGATTGTCTCCCAACAGATTATCAACTCCATATGTGCCATGTGGCTCCTTCACTTCCCATACCTAATTTCTTTTACAAATACTCATTTCTACTCAAACTACGAAGCTGTGAAGTACTTCAGTTCAAGCTACAGTGCTGTACTGACACTTCATATGATCATGATAACCTTGCTAACTGTTGGGGTGAGTCTCATTTTTTTATATATATATAGCTATACCTTGTTGTAGATTGTTTACACATTGCAATATCAAAAGTTTAATCATGAACAGGATCCAATTTTGTTGTTGAACCATGTTAAATCGTGGTGATATCCATGAACCTACCGTCAATCTGTTTACAATGTCACTGCTACATTTTTTTACATTGATATCGCGCTTTGGTATAATTGTAGATACACTAATTTTAGATCAGTTGATGAATTGAGTTTTTATTTGCCTAGTTTTGGATTTGAAGTTAAAACTGTAAATGCAATGTAGACTGACCATAGAAGTTAAATGTTTTTTTTTAATTAAATGTAAGTTTCTTCTTTCCCAGTTTGCGGCTAATGCTTATTATATACGCCATAAGAGAATAGCCTGGCCACGGTGCAACTGCTACAAGCTCTTCACAATAAATTCTCTCTTTATCTGTGCAAGGCTGGTAAGACATTCGGTGAACTGGAATATTTAGTTAATTCACTTAAGGCTACTCATTTCAATTATTGACCTTTTTTAATCAAACTTGAGACCTAGTTGGTACAAAAATTATCAGTAATTATCCAATTATCCAATGCGTACAGTGTTAAGATGAATATGTACAGCTTTCAGAAGAAGGAAGAGGTTAAATTTAAGACCTAGGCTTTGATCCTGAGTATTATCTTAGCCATTTTATTATGTTGTTAATATACGAGTTAAAATAATTGGGTTTCATGCTGGAGTGTAGTTATGTTGTCCACTTGAGGCTAATTTGACACAGTTCATTAATCTTGTGTTGAATAATAAATGAAAAGCTCTAATAGTACAGTCAATAAATATAAGCACAAGTACGGTACCTGTACATGATCAGCTTCGTTCCTTTTGTCATACAGGTCTATGCTTCAATATTACTACCTTCCGGCTCTGAAGTGCTTTTCTCAGGCATTCGTTCTGACCCAACAAACACAAAATACTGCATTGCCAACGTCACACTCTGTGGCACCGTGCGCCTACCTGCAAGTGTTGTTTTTGGGGCCACTGGAGCTCTTGTTTTCAGTGTGATGGGCGCGTGCGAGGCTCTGCTGTCTCTACTCTTTGGATTTGCTCATGAGGTCATGGTGAGTTGGCAGCAGAAGGTAATTTATTTTATTTCTTGTGAATATATTTTATTTTATGTTCAATGTATTGAATATATGAAATAATTTCTTGAGCTGGTGACTCAATTGTGCGCTTCATTGACACGTATTTTTTGTGTTTATTCGTAGACGTTGGGTTTTGCGCTTTTAACTTCACTGGCCAACTTCATTGTTACTGGATTTGTCAGCGAATATGGCTTGCTATCGTATGGCCAAATGCCATGGGCTTTTGGCATTGCCTTCATGGGCCAGTGCGCCGTAGCTCTTCTTCACGCATGGCTGATGTGGAGTGCTCCTGCCTTTATAAATTCCGCCCCAAACGTCCTGAAACTTGTATGTGGTTACAAGCCCAAGCCTGCTGATGACGTTCAACCTACTAACGAACTCTCTGAAACTGGTGCTGATGAAGACGTGGAAAACACTATTCATGCTGAACAGCAAGAAAATAATGATACTGTCACTACCAGCGACAATAATACAACTAATGGAGAAGTGCAAGCTCGTAAATTATTAATCTCCAAGGCTTTCAGATTCTGCATCAATTTCACAATTGCTGTAAGTTACGTATACATGTTTTTTATGCTGAAGAATCTCTGGATGTTTTTCCTGTCTAATTTTGGTTTGTATGAACTCTGCTGAAGAAACCTGCATGCATTGGACAACGATAAAAATAGATTTTGCTCATTTGCTAGTACCGTACTAGTGTTTATATTTTACATGAAAATATTGTGATTCACTTCTGGGCTAGGAATAGTGGAAGCTGTTTCTTATGGTGATACTAATTATTTTCATTTAATGAACTTATTTCCCATCAGCCATCATAAAAGCTATTTATACATGATATTGTATAAAATTTGTGATCTAATTGACCAAAGTCAATCTAATTGACCAATTGTGATCTAATTGACTAATGTCTTACAAATATTGGTTCATGTGCTACTTGGTCACTTTCATCTTTATACTTAGGAATACTTTTGAAGTGACTCGTAATAACGTTTTATGCTCCCAGGTGGTAGCTTTGGTTTCTTTGTCGATGAGTGGCTTCACGATAGCGGAGACAGAAGCTCTGGACTGGTGTCAGCTGCTGTTGGTTGTTGTGTTGACAGTCGTGGTGTCACGAGCCGTTGTCAGCGTCATGGTCACTGTCAGTTCTGCTCCATACTGTGCCACTTCTACGGTTCAGGTGAAGTCTAGTAATGTTTAGTGACGTTTGGTTTTGAAATGTTAGCTGCCTTTATTAATTAAGTGGATTATACTTGGAAGTGCGGTTTAATTAGCTTGATGTTCTGTTATTGCCTCGCTTAATCAAAATGATGCTAACGCTATGAATTTTTCCGTTTCAGACTGCAATGGAAGAAGCGATCGTGATTGGTCTCCTGATTGTGTCTGCGGTCGCTACGAGATTCTATCAAATTTCTGCTATCACCAACGATGCTACTTACGTCACCATTGTTGTTCTCGTTTTAAAGGTAATCTTCTGTCATGTTACTATGATTTTTCTATTTCTTTGAGTGAATTTTCATTAACGGTACTCAGTTATTGTGTCATTTTACAACACTTATCTTTACCTTCACTTCTTGTTGTTTGTTTGTCTGTCTGCTACAAATCTTATAACCAAAATTTAACACACTTCTACTTTTCCTATCGAACTGAAATGAAATTTTGCACACTTGCGTAAAGTTGGAGATAATGCATGAATCAATTGACAGAATAAACAATTTTAAAAATTAAAGAAAAATAATTTTTTAATATTAAAAAATTGAAAAAACAATTACAAATCTTAAAATCAATACTTAACACACTTCTTCCTGTCCAGTCGATCTGATATTTTACGCACTTTCGTAACGTCCGACCCAATGCGTGAATAAATTGACAGGATAAATAAATTTGCAATTTTTTATTTGTAAACAAAAACTAATAAATTAATTTTCTTCAATATTTGAACATAAAATTTGAAATTCATTGTACATGTGTAACATCGGAAACACTGGATTCTTTAGAAGTGTTGTCTCCAAAAAGTAATTTTTAAACTCATATTTTTGTTTTTTATTCTAACTTAAAGCTCCCAAAACTGAATTGTGTTTGTGTTGCAGATGGCTGATTTGTCGCAGTGCCAGGCTTTCAGGAATCTTTTCTCCTCATCATCGAACCCAACAAACACCGCAGTTGGTGGCCGCAGTCATGATCGTCGCAGTTTGTCAGTGCAGTCTGACACCAACACTCTATCATCAGCTTCCACCTGAGCAGTTGATTGCTGTCCCTCGTCCCATCACTTGGACGGCTGCCTGCGTTACTCGTCCTAACTTACAAATCCTTTCCGACACTCACCCTTTCTCTTATTTCGACTGCAAACTGCGGTATTTCTCCCCTCTATACAATGCAACGAGTTGATGCAACGTATCGTACAGACAAAACGTGTTTTTTTTGTGTCAACTAACATGTTCTGCATCTTGGATCCTTTCGCGACTCGTTGCTGTTAAAGTTTGGTTTCTTTCCCTTATTTTTAAGTTTTATTTTTGATAGTTATGATATGAAATGTATGCACTCTACTCGTCGTATTACTTTTGTTTTTGCACGCTCCTCGTTTTTGTTACGATTATATCTTCTTATGTTAGTAAGTTATTTATAACAAAACTTGCTCTACATTTAATTCGTTATTTATTTTAGAGTACTCTCTTGCGTAGATTATCTTCCACGAGAACTTATGATGTTAATGCCTTGAGAATCGGCCAACTCGTGAGACGATTCTCAGTATGCATGCCGCATTCCTGAAAATATGGAGGTTTCTCTCTGCGAACATTAAGTATTGCTTTTCAGCTGAAAATATTTCTTTTATTTATATTAATAGGTTTATATGTGCTATTTAAGTCATGCTAGAATCCAGTCATTAGTATTTTTTTAATATGAAAGCAAATGCAAATGAAGCGTATATTTTGTAATTAATGTCGAAGTATGAGGTTACAGAAGAGTACATTTGTGCAATGAACAAAATGTTCTTAGGAGCTGCGTGTGAGTGCATCGTTAATGCTACATTCACATACTAGTTTGTCTTATAGATCTTACGGATTATCCCTACCTAGTAAACAGTCAGTTTGCGTTTATTCTCTTAGGGAGCTTATCAACTAGTTTCAATTCAACTAATAAAAATTTAAACCATCCAAAGATAAACAAAAATGTGAGAAAATTATGCAATCTCTAATAATTTAACAGTATTTTCCTTCTTAGGCGTTGCATGATTCGCTTGGTAATATTTACTTTAAAACTTCTTTGCACCATAAGCTTCAATATGAACATATTTCATACTTTTTAACGCCATCCACGACCTTCTCAACTCAGCAAAGGTTCTTGTCCTCTCATTACCAGTACATCGTTATAAATTTCGTTGTACATGAAATGGTCTACTCAAATTTATAATATCTAGTTCGACACTATTAAGAATAATTTTCTTTGCCAATTTGCCTTTGATCAGAGATAATGCTAAAATTCAATAGTAATGTTTCTGTAGATAACTTTGTGCAAGTCTCCCTGTCCCAATGAGGCAGATGATTATATAAGCTCGTCCATGTGGCGGCCTAACACCAAGGATAGATTTTTAAGTCTCGAGTTTTTTGTTCAGAAACTGAACACCATCATCGAAATTATTCTAGAATAAAGTCTTCGTTACATTTAAATCTTTGTCTTCCATTCGTTTATGTATGTCGTTCTTGTTATTAGCAAACGAATCGTCGTGGCAATTAGAACATCTCGTATGGTAAGGCTTTAAAATGTTTTCTACTACTTAACTTTATTTCGTATTTTAGGAAATGTTATTTCTGTTAATTTTGACAAGCTGTTATACTGAGTAAAGAATCTCTATAAAAGTTAAGAGTTTCTTTTTCTGCTTGATAAGTTATTGGGTGCTTGTGCGAAATAAACATGTTGTGCTCCTCAACAATTATTATACTTCTGAGCTCTGTAATGACGCGCTACAGGGTTTCCTGCGTTCTATAATTTCTCTCTGTTTGTTAAGGTGATCATTGAGCATAGCTTCGATGTACGTAGGAGGGGGCAGTTCGTTGTACGCGGGCGGTTCTTCGCATTCTTTCAAGTTAATCACATCGAGGCTCGAGTATCTGTGCTCTGGTCCTAAGTTCCTCAGGCTGTTCAATACCGAGGCCGGTGGATCGCGATTCTGACTTCGCCTCACTTCCTGCAACTGTAACGTAGATGCCTGGCTGGCATTGCTGCGACACTGTCCATAGATGCTGCGATTGTCATCTGTGAAGAATGGTGCATTTAGGTGCGCAGAAATTGTGAATATGGTCGAATGTGATGTGGAATTCATTTGGTGGGTCTTGCGTTCGTCAGTAGTGATGGATGTCGATCTTGCTCGCATGCACTGTCCATCATCGAATTCTATATCATCTTCAAAGTATTCGGGCAGCGCATAATGTAGAGCATTGCCCGTACTTTGCCTGCGATCTCTTCTGCCGCAAGCCTCTGAAGATGAAAATAAATTGGGTGTAGATTTTGCATTGCGATCTTCGAGTTCGTGACGGAATGGATAGTGACGACGCTCACTTGGAACTACGCGGTCGCAGTCAAACAAATTCAGTGGTCGGTTGAAATGAAGTTGACTCTCCGAATTGTGATGCTGACGCGGTGTTGAATGATCAAAATCATACCTTGCTGATTCGTAATTCTGACTTCCAGCCATACTATCGTAGTTTACTCCATCTTCGAGGCGTTCATTGTTCAAATAATTAGAGGTGGAAAACATGCTTGACTCGTCCAGGCAGCTCTGAAACGGCGACGTTCCATCATCTGTCATGGACAAGGAAGGAACGTCAGTCAGATGTGCCTGCACAGGCGTGGTGGCCCCGACTGTGGAAGGGCGCCGCCCTTCATTTTTCTTGCGTCCAGGCACTCGTGGGGACGCAGTGTACTGCACCAGCTCCTGCAATGAAATTTTAGAATAAATATGCAGATTGATCAGTGCTGAGTCTATCGCATTCCACTTGAAAATTTATTTTGTGGCACTAAAAATATCTCAGAATATACGAATTGTTTTGTGACAGTTGCTCAGAAGTTGAACAACCCTAATACGTGCATAAAAACGCACAATATTGTGTAGAAAATATTTTAATTTTTCGAGTCTAGACTAATAAGAAAATAATCAGCATCAAGCACTTATATTCGACGTACTGGGCATATGATCAACAGGCCGTCTAATTTAAATTGAACTTTGCTAAATTACATCACAGAAAAGATTGATAGTTTTTTTAATTACTATGAAAAAGATTAACAACAATACTATGAAAGACATACATACGAGACCGCGACTCTCCTGGCTATCACAGCCGTCGATCTGGATCTCCGCGTTCGCCATGACATTTCGTCCATCTCGTGATGCGTTTCGCATTAAATTGGAACTTGACTTTCCTCGGTGATCATTTGCATACATGTTGATGATGGTCTGACCATCTCTAGCTCGTGTGGTATCTTGAGTCCGGCAGAGCAGGTTCCGTGTTTTCATGGTATCGATGCTACTTGAAGCATTAGTCTCCGCGCTGCCGTGACAAGCATCCGCCCTCAATTGGTCATCAACGTCATGTTTAGGAAGGATTTCGTGGCAGCGAGTCGTTGCTGTGGTTTGGTAACCGTTAATTCTTCCATTGGTGCCACCACCGTCATTGCCACTTCCGACATCTCTTCTTTCGTTGCCGCTAAACCTTTGTCCGATTTTTCCATCGCGACAAAGAACATCATTATCTAGGATTCGAGCATCTACCTGTGTTGTGTCGCCAAACTCTGAGCTCTTCGAAACGACGTGATCGTGAACATCCTCTCCGCTACCTCTCTCGTCTTCGAAGTTGTCAAATTTTCCTTCACTGCTGCTGTCATCGCTGCATCTGCGCCGACCTCGGCTGTCCGGCAGCTCCAAGACGTAAGGTCTTTCAGCGTTGATGGCCCTGCGCAGTCGCTTGCACAGGTACCGGACCAGCTGGAATAAACTGACGCACAGCGCGCACAGCAGGATGGTCAGCGCCACCGACACCACGAGTGTAAGCAGAACACGCCATACGTTGTTCATGGTCAGCTTACACTTTAATAAGTGATTATTCGAAATCTGCGTGTGTAGATTTTAACATTGTTTCAACTCAAATGTAATTTTTTACCATTTTTCAGAGATGAACCTGCAATAGAAATGCAATACACTTTGACAATTATTGACTTTGAGATAACCAATAAAGTTTATCGTACCATGGTCAACGAAAGTTGCTAATTTTGGAAAACAATCTCATTATAAACGATTCTGCGACATAATTTTTCAAAATTAAATTTGAAACAACTCTTTTCAGTTTGTCACCATCAATGTGCAGTGCGTGTGCAACAGATTTGTTCTCTATTTCGGACCTACATCAGAGAAGGTCCGCGAACAAACGATCTTTACAATTGTAGCTGCACGCATCAACTCAATGATTCAAGATCAGTCACCATCGTTTTCACATTAATTATACTTAGAAAACTATTGTCTAAATAACTCATGGTCAAATTAATCCTATTAACTTTGATAGTAATGATAATTTGAGGCTAAAATTTATTACGTGGAATCAAGTAAAGAAGATATTTGCTGGCGTCAGTTGAACGTCCATGCCCCAACGACCGCCAATGACTGAACTAACATCAATGGTCTGGACAGGCGCATCGCTTGCTGACACGTTGCTACGATACGAGCCCGTCCCAATAATGCTGGTCGATATGCTGGTATCGCAACCCACGCTCGGCGGCACATAACGAAATGTTGCCTCAGTTCAGGTGCATAAACACTCAGTTACAAGTTCTCAGAACGATACCGAACTAGCGAGAAGGGATAATTAAATAACAAAAAAACGGCATTAAGAAATTTGAGCATGCATTTTTATAGATGATATAGATGATAATTTTATCAAATCTTAAAATACTTCATGTAATGCTGCATTCGACTCAACCCGCTTGCTAAACAACAGTGAAAAATATAACTCGGTACTCACTGCAGTCAGTGACAGAGAGCGCATTTTCTCGTCGACGAAAACGTTAAGTCACGGACGGACAGACAGACGGACGGACGGACATGACGAGCACAATAGCGCCTTTTTTTCCATAAATGAGAAAAATGCGCTAAAATATAATTCAGTACTCACTGCAATGAGTGAAAGAGAGCGCATTTTCTCGTCGACGAAAACGTGAAGTCACGGACGGACAGACAGACAGACGGACGGACGGACATGACGAGCACAATAGCGCATCTTTTCCATAAATGAAAAGATGCGCTAAAAATGAATCCCACAATTTATTTTCATGTGTTATATGAGTCAGTGTAACATTTATGTTGCCGGTGTAACATTATCATTAGTTCATTACCTGAAACAAAGTCTGCACTGCATCGGACCAGAGCAATGAAGATGTCTTTCCTCAAACCGTGTCCTAGGTCCCGGGAAATTTTATCCTGCCAAGCTAAAACTGTAATCAGGAAAATGATCTAATGAGATTACAAGCTTCTACGGCCATCAGGTCCCAAAAGATTTCAAGTAATCTCGCTGCGCTAGAATGTCATTTATCTCCAGCCGCTGGCCACCGAACCGAGGCTTGGTGACGGAACTCATCTCTCCCTATACTGTACATTCGTTCATGTGTCGAAAAAAAATGCTGATTGTGTATTAAGAAACTGATGATTTTTATTATCGCTGTTACTTGAATAGATTTTTTTTCTCTAGTAGGTAAATTGCAAATTAGTTGTCATCAGAAATGGATATGCTAGGTAAATTTAGACAATGATGAGTGTGATGAGCATAAGAAATGATTGATAATAGTAGAAGCTCCTGATGTTAATGTGGATAACTTTTACTGTATTTTCAATGTTTACGAAGATTTGCATTAGTTAAAAACTGGAGTTAAGGGTAGCCCAGTGATTACAATTCAGAGTACCAGGATTGGAGCAGAGGCGCGGGTTCGATCCCAGCTCTGTGCGCCAGTTTCTGGTCAGCCGTCAGAATCGGCGAGAAGGCCGGGCGGTTAAGCACAGCAGAATTGTAGCAGTGAGTTGCGAGTTCGAGACCGCAAAATGCTGTGAATGTTCTGCGATGTTAAGAATCGGCGACAGGCCTACGGCCTAATAAACGCTGAAGCCGCTATTATTATTATTTGTAGTATATCAGTCAGAAAAGTACCCTTTTCAACTCGGTTTTTGATCCAGACCTCAAACATCCTGAGATTTTGAATGCTACTCGTCAATTAAAGGTGGACATTCAATAGAATCAAACAGGATATATATTTTGGACACTCCACTCTTCCTGAAAGGGGACTGTTGCGTGAAGCCTCGAGTAGTGAAATGGCATCAAATTATCTCATTGAACTCTGAATTGTGATCTTCACGCTGGAAAGTCTAATTTGTTCCACCATGCATGTTGATATGACATGACATGATTTGACATGACATAATAGTGTCGGCGCTGAAGAAATTCCTGGTGTGGCCTGGAATTGCACACTAAGATTGCAGTCGTCTATCACCTCCTTACTTTAATTTTTCGTAATTTTGAGGAATGATTTTGTTTCTCGATACAGCATTTGAAATGCGATTAATTTTTTGCCCTCTCTCGTTGAGCTTTTAATGGGTCGGTATAACGGCTTGATATTTTCTTCAGTCGTCGATCTGTCCTCGTCGCTGTCATGTAGAGCGGCAATAACGGAGGCGGCCTGTGGAGTTCACTTTTTACTCCCGAACCGTAGCTCTTGTGCTGCGTAGCTCTCGCTGCTGCCACGAGGAGTTTTGCTTAAATAGACTGTTTATAAACAAGAGATGTCCCGCATTTTCTCTGTTATTTTACGTCGGCGTGAGACACTACCGTCCTAACGAATTTTTTATGAATGAATGTTTGAAATGAATGAAATCACCGCAAGATTGAAAGTTCAGGAATTTCAGGAAAAATTTTTTCTTATCGAAATTTGTTCATTTCATCTTCGGGATCAAGTTTAGAGAAAGATCAACTTCGTATACAATTTTTGCTCAGAGATGTGTAGTGTGTACAAGTCGTACGGCAACAAACGCTTATTGTTCATGCATACGACTTATGGAAAACAAAAAAAGAAGATATGTAGGCCGTGGCGCAGCAACCTTCTTTACCGGACAGCCTAATACAGTCGCTCGCAGAACTTCCCTTCTCAAAGTCGCAAAGGAAGAGCGTAGGAATTTCGCCATCTTTTTAGGGACGCAGATATCGTTCGTAGACTGCGTCACAACTCATCTTCGAGCGCACATGTTTTTGGCAAATGTAGAGAAGGCGACACTTATCTTTTTGTGATAGAAAAAAAGATCTGAGTGATGGGTGTTTTATACAGGCTTAAATAATTCATGTGGCAATGCGTAAAAAGGATATTAAAATTTTACGTGCGGCATTTTGATGTTCACGATTAATTTGTTGCATTGATGATACTATGAGTTAATTTGTTTGACGTCTTTTCATTATTATGCAAAGTTTGTTTGTATCTGTCATTCATATTGATAATTTTATGGCTGTTTAAAAGCTAGTATGACTGAAATTGTCGATAAAAATAATTACTTTAAATCCACTATTAATTAAAGTTTAGAAACTGTTAAATCTAACTACAGAAAATAAGTTTACTAATTCAATGAGAAAATTTACATTCTAATTCCAACTTCCTTCTTTTTGTTTTGTCCACATGGTTCCACCACGAAAAAAAATTAAATTTAATTTACAGATAATATCTCGAAACGGGACGCATTGTGGATACGCGCCCAAAATGTGGAAACGGCTTAAGGCTTAAGTTAAGCTCTTAAGCATACATTTCAACTGTCATGCTTTGAATGAACAGGAAAAAAATACTTCAAAAATATATTATTGATTTGTCGCTAACATTGGAATCTCAAAAATATGGGATTAGTGAGACTTCTTATTGCAAATATTTTGCAACTCCTTACGCCTACCTCTACTATATTGTTTCTAATTAACGCCTAAAACACGAATAGAAAAAAAAACAATTTTAATTTCTCGATCAGCAGATCGAGTTTACTGCATGAATTGTATAAGGCAACGAACTGTCGTAAGTGTTCTATTTGTGATGATAGAAACAAAACCATATTTATCTTTCTTGTATTCCACGCTGTTTTATGAACCGCTTGAGATGTACAAATCATTAGCTACAGGAGCTTGTTTTTTCCAGGTGGCCGTTCGACGACGCTGTTCACCATCACCGGCCTCTTCAAGGAGATACTGCAACTTTACTTCTTGGCTATTCCGACGATAGCTCGTCGTGTTTCTGCACGACTAAGGCCGGTCTCAGCCATTGTGTCAACAGACAATTTATTTTTCCCGGGCTTGAGACGTCGGCCGAGCTTGACTCAAAGCCCAATGATCCAACTTACTACCTTTATTACAGCGATTACTTTCTTTCTGGCAATTCTTTTAGTCAAGTCGAAGTGCGATGAGAAGTTATGAACATCATCCAATTTTGGCCCTGCTTGTACAGCCTACATTTTCAGACGACCCATTTAATTTAAGAACAAATCTGATTGTGTTTCAAATTGTGAGTCTTGCGTATTTCGAATATCCAAACTTTTATCCCAGATGTTCTATGTCGCTCGTTAGGTAAGGGGTACCACTTCCAAAGGCCCGGCTGAAACAAAATAAACAACGGAATTACAATTTACTCATAACAATCCAGTAATAAACACCTAGGTCTTTTTTCTATCTAAAAGAGATTTTCTAGCCGGTTTTATTAATTGAAACGTTGTTTCGAAAGTTTAATTACGTAAAGTAACAAGCCCTTTGAATTCTCTTGCCGTATTCCAGTAAAAAAACAATTTATAGGCATGCATGACGAGAGGCGGCCTGTAATTTGGACTCTAGTCACGCCTATGTGAATGCTGCTTTGAAAGTCCTGAAGAAATTTACCCGACTTGATGAGCTGTAACTTTTATGTGTTGCTGGCATGCCACGCTAGGACGAGCATTCTCTCACTCACTCACTTGGAAACGAATTGTCACTCGTCTCGAATGTTTCTGAATAGTGCCATATAATATCAAAGTCTGGCTTGTTTACTTCTGATAACCTCTGTTATACGTCACAAGATTCGCTCGAATAAGCGGCATAATAAATTTTTAATCCATCCCCAAGCCAAACAAGAATTCGCTGAGTTATGACCAAATAAAAAGCCCGAATAGTCACCTATTTTGCTAGAATAATTCATTTATTCGGTTGTGTTACGACAGAATGATCAAGCTATATATAAACAATTTTCTTCTCCAGTTAAACTCAGAACAAATGAGGAGTTTGAGTTTTTTGTCTGAGCAAAAATAATTCTATTTAACATAATTACTCAGAATACACGACCACCAGCTGGAATATTTACTTCTTCACTCACCATTTTCTTACAACATCAGACTTTTTCAACTTTCCTTCCAAAATTTTACTCTTCCATTTCAAGCAAAGCTCATGTCATCTTGAGAGTCTTTCAGTTTTGAGAGCGCAAAGCTTCGCCTGGTCACGACTATGAGGATCACAGAACAGAGCTCAGTAGAAGCGTCCATTTTTCTCAAATTGGCCTCATTTGACCAAAACTGCATCATTTTGCTTGAAAATTTGCCACCAACTGT